AAGTTGTTATGATTGACATGGTTAAATTTATTGTGGCCTAATATCAGAATTTTGTAATTCCTTAAAGACTAAGGATACTCAATAATAATTCCAATTCCAATTCCAATTGATTGCAATTGTTATCAAAATCGAGGCTTCTAAGTTTAGGTTAGGTTGTTATGATTGACATGTTGGCTGTTATGATTGTGTTGGCGCTTTCGTGTCATTGGATCACACATCAGAAGAAAGTGTTTCGTACCGAGCGAAAGCCTGAAGGCACGTTTTTCTGACCAGTGGTCTCAAGATCGCGCGAAAGCGCATTACTTCCTGATTGGATTGCGATCTGCTGGAGGCCAAGCAGGCACATCGACAACAGCCACGGTACCACGTTCGCCATACCTGAAACGAAAGTAGATTCCGATACGTGTATGAGGGAAGTACGACCTTCGTTAGCCGATTTCTCAACCGAAGTTCACGTTGGCCTGGTTATCGCTAGCCGAGCGTAACCGTTTCGCTCCGAGCGATATACGAATTTGATAATCGTTATGCAAGCGCTGTTGGATAATAATCGTTTAATTTGTTAAATACGTGATTTGCCTCGGTTAATTAGCTTGAACACGACGATGGCAAGTTTCGAGAATAAATTTCGTGGAATAATAAATAATATAGAAAGTCGTCTGAAGTTCGAGCTTCTTCCACTGGGAAATTGTTTCTCAGAGAATTGGAAAAATTTCTTTGCCAGAGAATTTCTAAAATATGGAGGATGTATTCTTGAAAGGTTGAAACGAAGAAGGTGTTAGAGAATCAGAAAACCAATGAAAGTTTGTCAGTGAATATTTCAAGTCCGAGGAAACTAAAGAGAGTTTTCTTGAGACATCGAAGGTCTCTCTCTCTCTCTTCGGAACGAAAAAGAGGTTAATTTCTTTCTCGTAATATCGTAGACATTTGTTTGACATTTAACGTCACGGTGGAGAGGTGAGGGGAAGGGAAAGTTCGACTCGCGATAAGAAACGAGACAACCGCGGTGTCTCTAATTAAATCGGATCTATGAAAGCTGGGCGCGAGTTACAACTGCAATGGTGCCCCATACTTGGCGATATCGTGACAAGCTACCATAGCTATCCATTACTTTCCTATCGATATCTCTCCGTAATCCGTTTCTTGCCCGATCGAACGGTCCTTCTAAATGAACAAACTATGAACAAACCTGACGTTCTAATCTTCGAAAGTCTTTTCTTTCTTTGCAAAAGAATGTCTCTGTATCTGCGTCGAGTTTAAAATACACGAACAAGATATTTACGAGATAAATGTTTAAAAAGCTAAAATAATTAATATGTATATATAATTATATATTAGTTACGCTATAATATAGTATATAATATTATATTATATTATGTAAGTATGTATATGACAATGAATATAATTGCATACTAATTGGGAAAAAACGTTTCGACTCACGACCGAAAGCAATGAATGAGAATCGAACTAAGGTATACTAAGTGTATCAAAATATATAGAATTAACAAAGATAGGGAACGCGCTCGTAGAATCAAGATAACTTCGCGGTTAACACGTTCCTTGCCAAGCCATTTTTGCCTTTTGTGATATATTATCGCACAATCTTTCATTACATTATCAATCGATAAGTAGTTCTCTTGTTTAGAGTA